CATTTGGAATTCAAAACTCAATACAGCTCATTGCATTTCTTGACATGTAAAGCCCTTTTAGAAAGAGTTCTTTTAAAAATGGGAGTACTCTAATAGATGTTATAAAACTCTCCTTTAAAATGTATATTTCTTTGAATATTGTGTTGCATTGTAGTTGATTATAAAACTTAACAGAGCCAGGAAGGCATTGGGATAAGTGGTGATCGGAATCCCTACTGCCCCTAAAGCTCACAACTCCCAGCATGGCAAGCAGGGAGCAATACTACCATCTGTAGTACTGTGTGTTGACATTGCTTGGAACATTTTTCATGTGTTTAATCCTTGTAGCAATCTATTGAGTGAATACTCTTATTATCACTTCCATTTTACTCATGAGGAAGTTGGAGCACCTAAAGTTTGGGGAACTCTCCAGAAGTCAAAGAGTGATTGGTAGAGCAGCATCCACACCCGGGCAAACAGACTCCCGAGTTCCTTCCAGCCAGCATGCCCCGATGCCTCTCAAATCACAAGGAAGCAAGCACCCAGCACGTGGTGAACATCTGGTGGGTGTTTTAGCATCAGATAATTGTGTGGCAGGTGACGAGGTTTTAGTCAGGCAAGCTAGCAAGGAGTGTGAAGGAGATATGGCAAATGGTATTGGCCCTAAATCTTATGACACAGGATTTGGAAGCCAGGGGCACGTGCAGGGGCCCAAAGCAGGACTAGAAAGAGGGAACATGTTCACACTGGATGTGGATCACAAGATAGCAATCATAAAGGCTAGAACAGGAGGACCCATTAAGGTATCCAGTAGAAGAAATAACTTAATTCGAATGTGGCCCCTCTATGTATAAAAAGGCTTACATTCTTTTGCCTGAAAACCAGATTGGTCCTAGAGTTTTCAGACTGTGAAATTCATTAACTCCAATAGCAAACTGATGGGCTGTAAAGGTAGGGAAAGAATGTCATTTACTGGATCCTTCTGTTAAGGCATCTGCTGAGAGTGCAGGATTCCTGGATGTGGAAGGCATCCTCCACGAAGGTTGGTTTTACACACTCTGCCACCATGACTAGCATTGAATTTTATTTGTGTGGGCTTCTCAATATGAGAATGTTTTTTGAGTTTTTCTTTCTAAGGCTTATAACAGGGTCTCCCAGAAATTTAAGAGAGATTTTTCTGATTTCTCCATCTAAGGTGGCTCTGCACTTCCATATGCCTTGGGTATAACACTATTGCTATTCTTCTCTCTGTGATAATTTTATTGACTTGCCATCTTCTTGTCAAATAAACTGTGAAAGAAGTAAGACCAGAGACTGCACATCCACTCATCAGCCCCAGCAGCCAAGCCAGTACAGAGTCCAGCCACACAAGAAGAGTTTAGTATAGTCAGATGCCAAGAACTGGAGAATCAGCTGGGCAAGGGAGAATGACATTTGTACAATTTGTAAGGCATCTGAGCTTTCCACTTGGTTGTTTGTCCTTTGTGCTGGCTGCAGATTTATTTACTGGAACAGCCTTCTCTTCACATATGCATGCACATCCATGGCTCATAGCATGGTGTGGTTTTTAACAAAGTGTCAATGAAGATTTGAAGAAGAGTATCCGAAGGGAATAGCTTTACAGAGTACAAAACCTCAAGATTAAAAGTTATTGTTATTATTCTCAATCTTCTAAATTTCCCTGGCTATATTCAAGCACAGGGAGTCCAGCACCAGCCAAAGGACTCCTTGGCTGGAGTCTCTTCTGTCTTCCCTCCTCACCAAGTCCTAGAGCCCCCAAACCTCTCTTGCCCTACCTGGAGGAATTGTGAATTTCCTTATATTAGTGCCTCCAGAAAAAAAAAACAATTTGTTATGAATTTAAGGCAAAAATATTTAAATTGTTATCAATCGTTCTTACCTCTAGATAGTAAAATATTGTTGATGTATATGAACACATCTCAGCATTCAAGGTTATATATGTACTTTCTTTTAAATAGTGTCGTTAAAAGAGGACATGATTAGCAAAAAAGTATACATGGGGGATTATTTTTTAACAGTTTCAGCATAAATACTAAATTTGACTACTCCTATTAAGTTCTATCTTTAGAAACTTAATGATTTTACTAGCTGCTAGCTGTTTTTATTATTCACTTAAATTCACCTAGAATTTCCCCATGAATACCTTCCACTCTCACCACTAGCACAAGTATATGAGAGTGTGTGTGTGTGTATGTGTGTGTTTTTTTAGAGAATTTGAAAGATGTTATTAACCATATTTAAAATGGCAATTATGTATATCTAAAGAATCCTGGATCACACTTAGATGCAGAGATCTGAAATTCTTGAATCTAAATTCTTGAAAATATAAGCAGACTGAATAGGTTTTCAGAATAAACAAAACCAACCCCCCCCCCAAAAAAAACTAGGTTTTCCCTTGCGTTTTATTTTTCTTAAACAGAGCTAAAATTAATAGCATCTTTATTGTTTACTTGTCTCCATAACTCCTTAAGAAGAGACACAGACTTACTGTGCCTAGTCGTAGGATTGTAAGAGGAAAGTTAGAAAAAAGACGTCAACATTTCTTGATTTGGGAGTTTCAAATAAGAGAGACAAGACCAGCCAGGCCCTGCATCCGCTAAAGCTGTTCAGAGGCTGGTGCTGGGTGCTGGAACTTGTCAGTGACACCCTCTGACATCCTGCTTCTGCTCAATACCTGTTATGATGCTGCCCCAAAGGCTTCCTCAATTTTGTTGTCATATTTTCCCTCTTTGCTCTAAAGGCATTTTAAATTAGGCATTTAAATTTGTGTTGCTCTATACCATAAATCTATAGTTAATGTAGAAAGCACAGGGCAAAAAGGCAAAGTTCCTACTACTTCCTATCACTTCACTACCTTTAAAAATAGGTGATCGCAATAACTAGTTCACCAATTGATTAGCGTTCTAATTAGTATATAATTTTGTATATAAAAATATTTCATTAAAAATATTTGTACAAAACTCTTTCTTTTTGTCCAAATCAAAAAAGCCCACAAAATTATGATGACTTTCATTTTAAAACTAAAGACTATATTAAGTTACATCAGAAATTTCATCACCCCATTGTCTTCCCCCATATGTTGAAACATGTTGAGCTGAGTTTGCCAATTTATTCTTTTATTTTCCTTGGCAATTTTTGCAGATGTTTACTGTAAGCAACAACCACTTTGAGTGCAAAGATAAAGCATATTGTCTCCCCCCACTTCCATTCTCATTTGGTAATTTAGGAATTATACATTGTTTTTATGGGGTTGTATATGTTTATCCACCTTCAATGACAAATTTAAGAATCTCCATTCTTAGCTAGTTAGCTTTTCCATGACATCAATCCTATTTAATTTATTTCAAACAAAATACAGTTGACTTTTGAACAACGTGGGTTTGAACTGCTTGGGTTCACTTACACGGGCATTTTCTTCTGCCTCTCCTGCCCCTGAGACAGCAAGACCAACCCCTCTTCTTCCTCCTCCTCCTTAGCCTGCTCCATGTGAAGATGACAAGAATGGAGACTTTTATGATGATCCACTTCAACTTAATAAATAGTACATATATTTCCTCTTTCTTATGATTTTAACATTGTCTTTTGTCTAGATTACTTTATTATAAGAATAGTATATAATTTTATACATGTAGCATGCAAAATATGTGTTAATTGACTGTTTATGTTATAGGTAAGGATTCTGGCTGAATTTTCAGCTGTGTGGTAGGTCAACATCCCTAACTTCTGCATTGTTCAAGGGTCTTTGTATATATATATTTTGTCATTTTCTTAGTATAGGATATTGGAAAAGAAATTAGTGGGCTATAAGAAACACTTAATATTTTTTATAATGCAAGCTTCATTAAGTGCAAAAAGTAGGAGAGTCCTCTCAATTGTACATTCTGCTACTTGACCCATTTTATGTGAGACCCATAACAAAATTTACAGAGTTTTCCTATGAATCATTGAAAATACAAAATTGTTTCAAATGATTCAATATGTTGAAAGAAAAGGAAAGAATACTACCTCCTTGGTTTAGTTTAGGATTGATATTTGGATAAGTAGAAGAATTGCAAAGTAGGAAGTGATAAGGTGCACACCATATTCGTGCGGGAGAATTTCTCTGCAGTATTTACCCAGGATAAGGATTTCTGAGTCATGAGATATACATATTTCTAAATTGACTACCACCCAAATTGCACTGGCCTCATTCCCAAGGCACTTTGCACTTGCTTACCATTAAGCTTAAAGACAACATTTCAAGATTTTTCCCAGTTTATTTTCATGGTATCTGGAAAAGAATGCAATACTACAGAGAATGAATTAGAGGTTAGAAGTCTTTAACTTGATTATGATTTCTTAACTATGTTTAAGAAGCCTTCTTAACAATTCACCATTGATTGACTATTCTGAGCAGTTGAAAGTAGGTCTATAGCCACAAGGGTAAGGAGGACACTGAAACTCTAGAATTTCCTCTGTAGATTAAGTAAGAAAATAGAAGTGCTTGGGGAAAAAATGACACCATGCCATGTACATTCAATAAACTACAGATTTAATCTTATTTTCAATTAGATTTAAGTGTATACCTATATACAAAATATAGATTTCTGCCTCTCCAAAAGTAATTTACAATAGAACACTTCAAGTAAAAGAAAAAAAGTTGAATCTTAGTGAAAATGAAAATTCTCAAAAACTTTATAAAGCACAAATCATATAAACAATTTCCTGAAGAAAGAAGTATTCTGCCTTTTCATAGTTTATCACATATAGTTTACATATTTAAGTATGTATACTTATAAGTACATATAAAGTCATAAAAATGTCTTTTTTCCCATTATACAACATTTATTCATTGAAAATAAATTATGAAATGCCAACTAAGTAAGCTCTGCTGTTCTAGGTACTGGAAATACTAAGGTGAAATAAATAGTGCCCATTGCTTTTATATATATATATAAATAAATATACAGACAGACAAAACTAAGAACAAATAGATAGATGGATAGACAGAAATATTTAAAAAGAGACACATATCTTCATTGGCTTTTATTGAACCCCAAGACTACATTATGAAGTTACATAACAATGAATTAGTCATGATAAATCTGAAGGTATTGTGAAGAAAAAAGCAAACGCTTTTATTCTATGTAAACATTAACATTAACATTCCTCTATTCTATTTTTATTCCCCAGATGATTCTGAGGTGGAGGAGTCCACTGGGTCATTTCAGGTATCTTCATCAAAAAGAAAATGCATACCCAGCAAAAATTGGTGAATATATATTCAATAATTTCTATAATTGTAATTATACTGGCCCCACAAAATAGGCCCAGCTGACCACCAACATCTGCTGTAATGAAACCAATAAAGAAATTGAATGTCATTTTTCCATAAACAGGAAATTAGACATTATTAGAAGTTAAATTATTTGAAGATCATAAGTTAATTGTAACTAATATTATATGAGGATGGGTTCAGTGTATTATTTTGAAACATGGTATAAATAAATTCATAGCAATGTCATAGTAATATTCATACAAATCATCTCAAAAAGCACAGAGGAAAAAAGCAAACAGAAAATCTGTTTCCAAAAATATAACTCAAAGGCTTTGGAAGATATAAAAGCTTGGTAAAGTCATAAAAGATCCTAGATAATTATAAATTCAGGTCCATGTGTTACATAAGGAGCAGAAATCCCATCCAGATGGCATTACTGGATGATAATGTTTTCTAGAAAATTCATTTCCAAGCAAGTTGTGACTTCAAGTGTCCAAACTGTTTCTTTTTAAGCATTTTTATTTCATTTAACCAAAGTATATTAGCATAGTATAGCCTTTTGGGGGATGATTTTAAAATTTTTATTTATTTTTATTACTTATGCTTTTTTATTGTGGTAAAATATGCATAACGTAAAATATAACATTTTAACAATGTTTTAGTGTGCAGTTCTGTGGTGTTAAGTGAATTCGCATTGTTATGCAACTATTCTCTTCACTCATTTCCAGAGCTTTTTCATCTTCCTCACGGAAACTGTACGCATTGAACACTAACTCTCCATTCCCTCCTCCTCTCAGCCCCTGGCAACCACCATTCTACTTTCTGTCTCTGAATTTGACCACTCCAACACTGCTTTTTTAAATAGGTTACATTATTCATCATTATCTCATTGCCCTGGGCCATTCTTAGGATCATGCTATTTTTATAAAGTGTGGTAATGAATATAGGTTTCTCCAAGAGCTTTGGGGAATTGGTATACTTCCTCCCTATTCACAGTCTCAGGCTTTGCCTGACTCTAACATTCTCTGCTGCAGTGAGATCTAAGAAATCAGTAATAAAGTTTGTAAGGACTGGGTGATGAAGGCCAGTGAGCAGACAGTGATTGTAAACTAAATACCTAATTTTGCTTCCTTGGGTATTTTTCAACCCACTCTGGGGTGGAGCTCTGTGTGGACATATGAGACTGTTGGCTGACATTCTACCCAGATGCAGGATTACTGAAACATGCTGTAAGATTCACACAGTAGCCGAATGACAAGTATTATTGATTATTCTTACTTCATAGATAAGCTAAACCTTAAATATGAAAGGAGGGAAAAAAACTAATGAAAAATTTTTAAAAATTGAGAAACAACTAAATAACACTTACCAAGTAATTCAGGCACACTCACTGCTTTTTGCTGCTGGGTTATCTTATAGTTCAAATCACTATAGTTTATTTCAATGTTTACAAGATTCTCCCTAGGGATAAAAACAGAGTTATCTTAGTTCATGATTGTCAGTACTATATTTAAATCCAGGCTGACAAAAGTAACATTCATTTTTGGTTTAGATGTTATTAATTGTTGAATTAGGCACAGAATTCGACTCAATATTAATCACAATTTGTATGATTTAATAAGGCATTTTTGTCACATTAGTGTTTAGGAGAAGGAATTATTTTTCTCCTCCTCATTCCCCAGAAACTGAAAACGACATTAAATGGAAATACCCACTAAGTAAAGTATTTACAGAAATGTAAAGGTCTTTTTTAGTTTAATTCAAACACTGGTTCTGTTCCTCATTACTTATGTGACCCACATTGTTTTCCTGAATCCTGGAATCCTCATGAGTAGTCAGAATTTTAGTTTAACTCACAGAGTTGTGGCGAAGAGAAATTAAATAATATATAGAACCTGGCACGGAACCTGATGAATATTGAGTGGTTCAATAAATGCTAGTTATTTCCTCTATGTCATTAATGTATATTTGGGCAAAGACTCTGCTTCCTTAACATCTTCTAGAAATCTTTATATGTGACCAGAGTGGCTAAACATTATTTTAAAATAATAGCTCTCTTAAAAATAAAAAAAAAATTAAAACTTTTAAAAGATAAAATTATAGCTCTTTATGGGCTCTTGGAAGCTCTCACTCTCTGTCTCCAGCTACATCTCTTCCTCGAACTTTGATAATATATTCAATTGCCTCTTAATATTTCCACTTGGATGTCTAACAAGTATTTCAAATTTAACATATTCCAAGTCAAACTCCTGCTAATTTCCCCCAATGTGTAATGTACTATAAAATTTCACACCCGTAGTCAATCCATCAGAAAACCTTATTTGCCTGTCCTTCAAAATGTATCTGGACTGCGGCCACCTTTCAGCCCACTCAGTGCTAGCACCTTTGCCCAGTCCTTCATTATTTCACACCTGAATTTTTGCAATAGCTTTCTCACCATTCGTTCTGCTTCCAACTTTAATGCACCCCACCTCAACAAATACACACCTCTATTCACACAAAAACTAAAATAGACGCCAATCAACTTGCCACCTCATGTCACTCTTCTCTTCAACCTCCATCCCCACCCTCCCCAGGACTTCCCAGAATACTGCAGGTAAAACTCCCCCATGGAGTTCTGAGAACCTCTGCATTGGGTCTTTGCTCACATTTCACCTTCTCAGGAAGGTCTTTCCTGACCATGCCCCACAACCCTGCGAACAACCCTCCCTGGCTCTGGCTTCTGGAGACTGCTTCTCTGCTGCCTTCCCTCCATGGCACTTAGCGCCTTCTGACGTGACTAGATATGCTTATGGTCCATCTCCATCCCGGTGGACACAGCACAGCAAGACAAGGGTTTTTTGTCTTGCATACGGAGGTATTCCTAATGCTTCGAATACTCCTTGAATCCTAACACATTGTAGGTGCTCATTATATATTTGTAAAATGGACAACTAAGGGGACAAATTAAAGAGGAAACCAATAAGTGAGTGGCTAAATAAAATATTCACCTGGGTCATAAGGTGAGGCAGAAACCAACCACCTCATGATTTGCAAATGGCAATGATAATTGTCCTTAAGAATGGATCCCATTAATGATGTTTTCTAGAATTATATGGTATTCTTTAATATATCTAAGAAATGTGGCTGTAAATCACTCTCCTTATTGTTTACAGTTTTTGAAACCTATATTCCCAAATATACTTAATTTAAAATACATCATTAATATGTTTACTTAATATCCATTGGTTTAACTCTGGGTAACAGGAGAATGGACTATGTTGAAATAGATAATGGGGAGGTATGGTAATATTTACATATAATAAAGCAGTTGCCAAAGTGATAGAAATAATAAAGTTGTCTTGGAAGTACAGAAATGTCAGTAGTATTTCAATCTTTTTAGCCTCTGTTGTGCTCCCAATTTGCATGTACACTGATAATATTGTTTTATTTCCCAAGCACAACATTCATAATCATTTTCAAACATTGTCCATCTGTGTTTTTGAGAGACGATGAATTTCTCCCCCACAAAAATATTGTGATATTTACTCAATTTCTCTCAGGCAGCTGATTTGCCCAGTAATTTGGGTCACACTGAATCTGTGCCTCATGGTGAGAGTGAAATTGTTCAGGATTTAAGTCCAAGAATATTTGTTTGTGTCATGAGAGGCATATAATAAAATAAAAACTGAGTTTTTCATTGTATCACAAAATTAAAGAAATGCTTTCGGATGCTTGAACATGAATGCTGCCTTAAGGGGAATGAATTGGTTTTGCACAAAGCAAACAATTTTTATTTCAAAATTTAAGTTCAATTTGAACAATTTAAGAAATTCACTTGTTTTGCTAAAGAAATAGGCTTATATCCAGCCACAATTTACCCTTAAATTCACCTCCTCACTGCCTGTTCAGTCAAGCTGAGCTTCTTATCATTTTGGGGTCCAGCAGCTGTCACCTGGGACCCTGGATTGGCCATCGTGTGGCTTTGATTTCTGCTCCAGGAAAACATACCTAGGAATTCATGCTTAAAGTAGAGTTCGCTTCTTTTTTAATCTTACTACTGCTAAGATTTTACGTCCACTCTTTTGACAAACTGCATTCGTGTTTTCTTATTGTTTTGTTTGTTTGTTTGTTTGTTTTTTGAGACAGTCCTATTCTGTTGGCCAGGCTGGAGTGCAGTGGCCTGATCATAGCTCACTGCAGCCTACAGCTCCCAGGTTTATGCGATCCTTCCATCTTCAGCTCCCGAGCTCTCAAGTAGCTGGGACCACAGGTGTGCACCACCACAACTGGCTACTTTTTTTTTTTCATTCCGTTTTTATAGAGATGAGGTCTCACCATGTTGCCCAGGATGGTCTCCAACTCCTGGCCTCAAGTGATCTTCCCACCTCAGCCTCCCAAAGTGCTGGGATTAGAGGCATGAACCTCTGCCCCCCAGCTTGCATTTATATTTTCTGATTCATCACTCTTTGATTTCTGTCCACAAACCAGTTTCTTAATTATATGTGTGACTTCTAACTGCCTCTATCTAGGATTCGGGCAACCTCTGAGTCTAGCCACTTTTGTTCAGCTCCTTACCTTAATCCTCCTGGTAATAGCCTCCACTTTTCCCAACCATGTGAGGTCCCTACGTGTCAATTATGCGATAGGATTAATTGGAGATACATTTATAATAATCTGAGTTTTGTGGAAGAAAACAGCATTCTTTTGATCATCTTGTTTTTATATGGCTTTCTTTTCTGGTTCACCAACATGTCTCCAAAATCATGCCTATATTCTCTGCGTATTAAATAATAATGAAATCCAGGAGATTTTTATCAGCCAAAAGTCATGCAAAGTGTTCTTTCAAGTCATATTTAGATATAACAGGAATGACATTATAAGCAATTCAGTTTCCCACATTAAAATGAAATACAGAGATACCTGTGTTGGAGTTAGAAGTGTAAACAAAGACATAATTACAAATTTTGTAGCTCTTCTTTTTTTATATCTGCTAAGTGTTTGAAATCATACCTCCATCAGTCTTCTCTTGATGAAAATACTTTTTCTTTCTGATTTGTGAAGATCACTTTACTGTGTAGGCATTTACATGAGGAAAATATTTTTCTAAATTAAATACAAAGCTAAAACTAGAATCAAAACACACTTTCAAAGTCGAGCACTTGACTGTACAAATGTAAATCAACTTTAAATTAGTTAATATATTTTTATATTAATAAATATAAGTACAAATACCAAAATCCTCTATTGCTGTTTCATGTCCTAGGCCTAAAAATATAAATAAAAAGCAAAGAGAAACGTTAAGGTTGTTCCCCAATTAAGAAACAAAGAGTTCTTTATGAGATTTGATCGGTAATTACTAAGAGGCAGCATGGTATAGCAGAAAGAGAACTCATTTAATGCCCAGTTAATCAGAGTTATTGGAATCATGTGCCTCTGTGGAAAGTATACAGGGATGAGAGTCAAAGGTCTTGGCCACACTTCTTTCTGCTCAGGACAGTTACTTAACTGCCTTTACAGGACAGTTACTTAAAATACAGTGTGCTTCTGTTTCCTCATCTGTGACATTAGAGTGATAATTTCTGTTCCATTTACCTTATGTAGTTACTAGAAGCCTCAAACTATATAATATACTGGTAAGGAATTTTCATATTTTAAAGCATTCATTGATATTAGACAGAATTATTATTTTCCCCAGTTTGGGGCAGTAAAAATGTGATCATGAGCAAATTCCTCATTTTCCTTTCACACAATTAAAGTAAGTGGTTGAGAGACTTGATGTTATCTAATTTCAAAATTCTATGCTATCATTGTTAATTCAGTGACAAGCTGTCACCTCCCTTGATTGATAGAAATTTTATTTCTTGAGTATTTAAGAGTTTTCAGTAAAGGAAGTATTTGCATTAATTATAAGTAATTTACAAGACTAATAAGATTACCTGATATATTTCTGGCTTTTATTCAACTTCTTGGAGAGATATTTTGAAGCTTTTTTACTTGGGAAACTGGAATAAGAAATAGTGGCGGGGTATTCTGTTTCTTCACAAGACACAGGACAGCTAGAATTATGTGTTCCCACTGTACATAATTCCTTAAGTTCAATGTGGTCTGAAATGAAAATCAGGGTGGGGAATTCAAAGAAGAGGAGTATTTCACAATGGGGAAGATATAGCTTTTTAAGGTTTATAATTTCACTTTCAATGGTAAAAAAAAGGTGGTTCTACCACTGTAGGATGACTATAGTTGACAATAATATATAGCTTCAAATAGGTAGAAGGAGGATATTAAATATTCTCAACACAAAGAAACAATAGATGTTTGATATGATGGACAAACTAATTACTCCGATCTGATCACCATACATTATATGTATTGAAATATCACTATGTACCCCATGAATATGTACAATTATTATTTTTCATTTTTTTTATTTCAGCATATTATGGGGGTACAGATTTTAAGGTTTCAATAAATGCCCTTCCCCCCTCCCCCCACAAGTCTGATTCTCCAGCATGACCATCCCTCAGATGGTGCACATCTCACTCATTATGTATGTATATGCCTGTCCCCTTCTCCCCTCCCCCCTCCCCAATACCCTGTTACTGTAGTACCTATGTGTCCACTTAGGTGCTACTCAGCTAATACCAGTTTGCTGGTGAGTATATGTGGTGCTTGTTTTTCCATTCTTGGGATACTTCAAAAGTGGTTTACAAATTCTATCACACTATTAATACTTTCTTAGGAAATGGTGTTTATATGTACTTGAAATAAAGCAAAGTAGACAGAATATGGACCATAGGAGTTGTTATCTTGGAATTCATTGAGTCACTGGATTAGAGTCTTTATTAGAAATAAGAAATTCTCTCCAGGAAGTCTCCGGCTCTATTTCTATAAGATATCAGATATATGAACAGAACAAAGGTGGAAAGTTGTTTGTGTGATCTTGTGTCACCTTGAGAAAAACTTTCAAACATAATCCTGAAAGCCAACTCAGATTTAAATTAAACTAACCTTTAGACTTGTCACAACATATAATGGTGTGAAACATGTGGCTGAGTGTTTAAAATCTCTTATTTCTGTGGACCCAGGAACTTCTAAATCAGCCACTGAGGTCCTCCATCTGTCCGCTCTTGGCTTCTTTAGCGTAGCCAGATTGTCCACGCAAATGCACTCTGGGAAAAGTCTCTGCTGGGGTGGTGTTTGTCCCCAGCCTGGACCACCTCCCAGTGCCCATCTACTGCTCCTCACTCCTGGTAAATACTCAGGTTCTCGTTTTCTCTTTGGTATTGAAATGAAAACACTTTGCTCTTGTGAACCATTGTTCGCCAAGACCCCCCTGATTCATGACCCACTTTGGGTTTGTTCTTCAGACTCTAACTTTGATACTTCTTTAGAGCATAACTTTTGCACGTATCCACTAGTTCTTTAAGGCCACTGTGAATGACCACCACTCTTCCCTGCACTAACATTCTTGCACACACTCACACACATGCTCACACACTACCATGCACACACTCATACACCCACACGCTCACATACACGTGCTCTCACACACACTCACATACTCTCACACACACTCGTATACACCCACACAGTCACATACACATACACACTCACGCTCACTCAGGTACACATACTCTCACCCACACACCCATACACACTCCCACACACGTATGCTCACACACTCACATACTCACACACACTCATATATACTCACATACTTGCATACACACACACATACTCACACACACTTTCTAGCCCCACACACTCACATGCACATACACATTCACACACTCACACACACATACTCTCACACACTAATACCTTCTGTACTCCCACATACACATACCCTCACACACTCACACACTCTCACATGCTCCCACACACATACACATACACATACCCACACACTCACATACACAGTCTCACACACACAGCCCTCTGACCCCATTATCCCACAACAGTTGATGCAGAACTGGCTGATTTCTCCCTCCAGCCTTCATCAGGGACAGGAAATCAGAAGAAATTTGGCAGCATAATTCCCAATCCATTGGTTAGTAGTATGTCTTTTTCATATTCAACTTGTGGGCTATAAAAATATATATAAGATCCCTTCAACTCATATTCATGCCTGCTGTGAAATATTTTACAACCATTGAAAAGAACCCATTAAATCAATTCCATTGTTCTGGAGATAATTCCCAAAATGGGTTAGAAAAGCAAGTTCCATAAAAGAGTACATATTAAGATTCTCTTTTAATAAAACAATCAAGATTTAAAGTCATAAATATAAAGCTATATATATGGAGAAAGGTATGGTAGAATATACTATACTGTTTACGTTGATTGGGGGTTAAGATAAGAGGTATGTACGCAAAAAAAAAAAAAAGGCTGTTTAAGAAAAAAGCTGTCCCTAGTAAATACAGCATATATGATTATGGTTCCATTTATGGAAAACATTTTATATATATAACAAAATTAATGAATGAAAGGATGATTCCCAAACAGGGGGAGTAATTTTCAGAGTGATGGAACTTCTACTAATTTTTTACGTGGTTTCTTTTCCATTCTGTAATGTTTGAACCATTCACAACAGACACATTTTATTTATGTAATAAGAAAAAACAGCAAGGCTATTTTGATTATTAAAAAATACAAAATTTTAAAAACAATATAAAGATTTAGAAATAAAAAACGAACTCTCTTGCTGTTACTTTTTCACTGTGTATCTTGTGTCTTAAAATCAGAGGGTTTTTGTTTTTGTTTGTTTGTTTTTACTATATATGTTTATATAAGCTATTGGTTAAGCATTAAAAAACCCTCCCTCTTATAGCTTATATTCTGTTTCATTTCTGAGATATCCATAGTACAATTTAATGTCCTGAATTACATTGGGCAATATTAATATAAATCCTAAAAATACAAGAAGTAAATAAAACCACTTACCAAGTATAGGAGTAACACAATTGTAGTACTTTTGTAGGTCACATTCTATCCCATTTCCTTAAAAACAATGAGTATAACAGATAGAGACTTTACACTTTATAAAATAAGTATCCTAATGACAAAAATACTTTTCTTACTTCCATTCATTCATTCATTCATTCATCCATCTCCCATCCATACATATGGACACTTATTCTTTTGTAAGAAAAGGTACAAAAGCATGTTAGTACCCAGTGAAAATATATGTTGGGAGGAAGAATAATGTTTTTATTTATTTCTATATTTCTTTCCATCTGTCTATATCATTCTAAAATCTTTAAATGCCAATCGTAATTTTTAAATGTTGGTAGTTTTCAAATTTTAAGCTACTTTCATAGTTATTATCTCATTTGATCTTGCTCACAACCCTGAGATTTGAGAATCTTTGTTTTAAAGATGAAGGAACTAAGCCTTGGTACATTTTTGTGTATTTTCCATCCTGTTCCCTCTATCCACTGAGATAAATAGAATCCCATTGAGTGTATGTGTGTGTGTGTGTATATATATATATATATATATATATATATATATGCAGCATTTCTAGGAATAGGATGGGGGCAGATAAGTGCCAATATTTGCTAAGCACCTGCTGTGGACCTTGAGACAAGTAGTAAAATCAGTATGTATCAGGGTCTAATCCTAGGGCTGATTCTAAAGCCTTAGTCATTTAGTGTAATACGATATGTGTCTATTGGTATAACCCATGTGGTTTCTGAGGTTAGCCACAAGGTTTAATGATACTCTTGAAAATAACCAAAAGAGATTGTCCACTTACAACTTGTGGACAATTTATGGAATGCTAGGCTAATGACAGTGTGTTCCAAAAGTCTCCATACAAAGGAAAAATGTTGTAAAATTTTGTAATGAATATTTTGTAAATAAAGGTGAGTTTAGCTACAACGTCTCATTTTCCCTATTCATGGTGACTTTTGGAACACCCTGTATAAGGAAATGTTCTTTGTGAAAAAATTGAAAGAAGTAAAAAAAGAAAAAAAAAATCTACCTTCAAAATTAAGTTAGGAAAAAAGCTTCATTTTTCCAAATTGTGCTTTAATTATGGCAATAACATTTCTTCCATTATAAAAAACAATGAAATTTTGGAAACAACCCATATTGAAAAAGCTGATTTTAGAGACTGCTTCTACAGAGTGTTGGTGGAGTTACCTTAGTGAAAGGACAGCATTGCTAGGAAATCATCTAACACAAAAACATCGCTGCACACAACCGTGTGCTGGCCCCATTGTTTGCTTCTTGCACAACCTCATGACGGTTAACTTGTCTTTTTAAGAGCTTGTTTAGCAGAACTGGAAAAGTACTGAACAAGGAAGAAAGGGCATTTAGCTCCCTCAGCACCTGCCAAACCAAATTCCGAGAAACCAGATGAAGGAGCCAGATAAAACCAGCATAACAGAAAATGGCTGCCTTCCATTATCATTTCATAACAACTGTTCTAGTCTCTATGACCACAACAAAATTCCAAGCCACTCATTCTCAGGGCAGACATTCCTTCTTCCTTTCGTGCTGTGCCCTTTCCTCCCTTGGAAAGTAAAATAGACTCTTTGTTTTAAGCCTGTTTTTATCTTTGAATTGAGAATTCTTTCTCATCCTGCAGTAGGAGCACCCCTAACATTTAGCTAATTAACTTAATGTTTAGAAATCTCAGTTTCCTCATCTATAAATAGACTTAGAGGGATATGTGAGTGTCTAACCAAATAAGATGATATCCTTGAAAACTTTTGATATATCCTAAAATTCATGCAAATGTCATGCTTTGTGTTTTATATAGCATCTTGCCTTATTTCTGGTCCATATTAATTATTCATTTTGTCTTTTGTAAGAAATAGTAATTTTAAAAATTTTAAACAGCATTCCGCATCAGTAAGTTCAGACTTGTTTCCAGTAACTTTGCCAATTTAATTAGAAATGACAAATCAGAGCCAGAATTTTACAGAATGTTTTGTAGAATGGCAGTTTTTGAAGGAGCCAGAGATCAACAATCTAGATTCTAAAAGAAGGAAGTGATGATTCTGGAAATCTCTGAGCAATAAATAGTTTGGTAGGTATGTAGTGTTGGTACAAGATGTAAAAAGAAAATCAAGTCACAGCCTTGGGAACCAATGAAGAGCTGGCCCCACAGATCATTCATTAAGGAAATTTCTTGCTCACCTCCTATTATTGAGGACATGCAAATTGTATCTACATCTAGCACCTAAAACTAAAGCCTATCCCATTCTACACTAATAACATTTATACAGACTATATTCTATATTCTGCACCATGCACTTTTCAAACCACTCACATATTCCTTTTATCTTTACAATAACCCTATAAGGTAAGAACATTATTCTCCTCCCACCCCCACCCCCACTTCTTCCAGCAGGTGAGAGGGGTTAAGTCACATGTCCAAGATCCCAAAGATAAAAACTGTGGATCTGAGCTGAGCTGAGCAGCCCTGGCAGATCCAGATCTTATCCCTGCTGCCCAATTGTACCCTTAGATGCTTGCCTCATACCCATGGTTCTAAAAATATTTTAAATTGTATGCAAAGGAGGCCTGAAGTCTCTTTTATAGTCACAAAAAAAAAAAACAAAAACATTTTCTAAGATTTCTTTTTAAGGATTGGTAAGACATATACATAATCTCATTTTTCTTTCAAAAATTGAGAAAATATTGATGTGCCATTTTAGACATTTGAAATCATCTAATTTTAGTCTTTGGGAATAAGAATTGGGGACCAACCCTGATAACACAATTTTTTTTTTCTGAAAATCTCTGCTATGATTTCATGATTTGAAATTTCTCTCTTGAGGTTATATTTGGCAAGTGGACGATTTTCCAGCATAGAATTTCATAAGAATGGAAAACAATTTAATGATATGTTCATTTTATATGTTTTGAATTAAGTAAATATAATTAAATATGGGGAAAGTCATCAATATTTACCAGGAAGCAGAAAAGGCAAACATCCACATTGCTTTTTTATGTGCTGGGCTTTACATTCCTTCAAGCAACCGGAAGTGCTGTAGTTGCTAAAATTCTGCAGCTTGATGTTAGGATTGCATTCTCCCCAAGGATATTCTTGATGAACTGTCTTAAGATAAAATAAACATTCAGTTCAGGAGTTTTATCCAAGTCAAGCCACCCATTTTCCACTACAAAGGCTAATACACATTTTTACTTTCCTCTCAGAGTTCTTTGATTTTTTTAAAAATTGACTACATTTGCCTATTTTGCCTTCTTTAATTAACCTGAATGTCTCTGAAGGTAAGTATTAATTAATATAATAGTGGTCTTTTAACATATATCCCAAATGCTAATTAAGAAAGAGAGATTATTTTAAAAATTAACTCACATAAAAAAAAAGTCATTTACGCAAATGTCATGTTGGCAAATTCATCAGCCCATCAACAAAACAGCAACCAAAATCACAAAGAAAAAAGAAAGATTCTTTACTGAGAACCTACTGTGTGCCAGGCAACAATGGTAAGTGCTTTCTTTATGGCACTTCACTTACAGTTCATTGCTATAAAGGGAAAATATCCCCTCTGCCCCAGTTGTGCAGAAAGGAGATGTAAATTTAGGAAGCTAATTAAGGAAATTACTGAACAAATGGTTGGCAAATGGAGACCTGTCAGACCAGCCTGACTCTAAGATTCCTGCTATTTCTGCTTTAATTGTCTCCTTCCCAGATAGTCCCACTGAGAAAGCATAGTTCAGCAACTTAGGTGTCTCCTTACACTCAATGACTCTTTCCATTTCTAACATTTGGCATTTAAAGTTGCCTTGGATTTCATAGGCTTCCCAGCTTTCACTTATGTTGTATATGTGAATTCACTGTTTCTACTAAATATGTGCCTCCATATAAAGAAAAAGAATCTGAAATGAAATTTGGACTTTTCAGTGATATTCTAAAGGCATGGACGAAAGGGGTTTCCAGTGAAAAGTATTATTTATGTATTTCATGCATTCACTATCCCAACGAATTCCCTCAGACTCCACATCTTTCAAGCATTTACCTTCATTTGGCGCATGGTTACCCGAGCGTGCATCCCTGCAGGTGTTGACAAGCCTACGCCATCAAGCTGTGGCACCTTCTTTGGCGAATGGATAACAAAGATGATCCCAGCGTCAAGAAAACCAAGAGCTGGGTTGTCAGTGAATTCCTCCTGAAATAAAAGTACATTTCCCCCCTCAATTGCAAATTGACTGTATCAGTTCAACCCAAGTTTAGGATTGAGTTTTATCATCTCGTGATAGTATCTGATATCCAAAATCAATATTTTATGTTAGAATTTAATCTCTTTTTATATAAGAACTTTGAAATTAAACAACTAGATATATCTTTCATGGCCAAATTACAGCTCAAGGCCTTGATAGTTTTCCATGGGTCATTTTTAACCTCAGGTAAATGCCATTAGTATGTAAGATGACTGTTAATGATCTTATTTCCTCTGGCCCTCTCTTCACCTAGTGACCTTTTAATTACTGACTTCTTGGCTGTTCTCTTGATGTATTTGTTTTAGAAAATTATCTGATCCTCTTTTCTTTGCAATTAATATCACTGGCTTTATTTAGAATTCAAATTCTTTTTCCCATATAAGTGAAGATTTGCACTCTTTTTATACAAATCTTATGTCAGACAAAGAAATTTAAGACTAAATTTCTGGTGACCTTGTCATTAGTTGTAATTTCAGGCTATAAGGAAAAGGGATAGACTTGAGACTATGATGATTTATCTGTCAGTGGGTCAACTGCGTAGGTAATTGTAGTTAATAAACATGCTTAGTATTCTATTTGTAACTCAGAACTCTTTTACTCCTGGGCCTGTTATAACCCTCTAAGAAACACTTAACTTGCCAGACTGGAGAAATAACTCAGTGCCATTTACTTATGTACATTGCATTGAATTTTTAGATTTTAATTGCATTCTAAAAATATTTGGAAAATTCTAGTTTATAAACTTTATAATTTAATATTCAAACTGACCATGTAACTAACATTTGAATGACTTGAATATATTAATTAAATATATATACAAGGATGCATAGGTACATGCATTGGAGTGTGTAATGTTGTATTTGGACATACAAAATATATATCTTGAATGAGGATACAGGAGGAAGCTATGAAAAGTGCCTTAAAATTCTTTAAAAGTAGCCAATGGCCTCATGCACTCAGACTGGGAGGTGGGGTAGTTTCATAGGATTTGGGAACATCAGGTTTATTTCCTATCTTTGGCATCAATTATGTGATTTTTGGATATTTAATCCATCACCATTTCAGAATCCTCATTTATAAAACCACAGTAATGGAGTAGAATACCTCTAAATGTGTAATTCTAGAAGTGGTTATGAAAGACAGAAGGTGAGAGATATACTAGGTACCCTTGAAGATAACACCACTGGATTTCTTAGGTGTATGAATATCTGCTTCCTAGGCCTGAACACTTAGAACTTCTTAGGCCCGTTACAACTTTCCAAAAGCTAGGCTTTGGCAAAGTCTATTTACAAAATATTCTTTACATAGCAATTATTTTTTTCATCACCTTTCCAGATATAGATTCTACAGTTTGTAAAATGTTTGTATAGTTGCTTTCTAAAGCATATTGCCTTATTTACATGAAAATCTTTCTAAAATTATTTTTAAATATATAGAGTTATCTTAAAAATAGCTATATACATTGCAATTTAGAAATCTCTGGGTTTCCTAATTTTGTGGCATGAACATTTCCTGTCGTTATAATAATGGAAAATTTCCAGGTTATGCTTCAAAATTTTGCCTATTTTATCTCTAACTCAGTATTTATACAGAATCCATGAGACCGTAGGCTAAATTAACAATGAAATAATATGCAACTTTTAGGAACTATTTGATGAAGCAAAACATTCTGATCAAACTGCTTGCCATTTTTGTTTGTTTTGAACCTGGGTAGGTTGCAGACAATTCAATACCTGATTGATGTTGAAGAGCAAGCTTAAGCCTCTTCCGGAGACACTCACTTTTTTATTTGCTTGAATAGTTTCACCATTATTGAAAGTAAAACAATTTCCATATTCAGTGAAGACATGTGCAAAATCCTCCAATATAAAAATGAACCAAAGAAAACACAATCAATTGGGTATTTTTGTTACTTCTAAAGTTGAATTGCTATAATTTATTTTTAAAATCACAGATGTCTGAACAAGAATGCAGAAATTTCAAAAAAATAAACAGTCTGATGATTTATGTGTGCATACAATGATAGTTCTCTCTTTTTTTTTTTTTTTTTGTAATATGCACTAGTCAATTTGTATGTGATTATTTAGTTTGCTTTTGTTTTTGAGACAGGATCTCACTCCGATGCCTGGGCTAGAGTGCAGTGGAGTCATCATAGTTCACTGCAACTTCAAACTCCTGGGCTCAAGTGATGCTCCTGTTGCAGCATCCCAAGTAGCTGGGACTACAGGCGTGTACCACCACGCCCAGCTAATTTTTTAAATATTTTATGTAGAGATGGGGGTCTCATTATATTGCTCAGGCTGGTCTTGAACTTCTGTCCTCAAATCATCCTCCCACCTTGGCCTCCCAAAATGCTAGGATTGTAAACTTGAGCCACCATGCCTGATTGTGATTATTTAAATGAGACATTTTTGTATATAATTAAGCATGTTTTTATACATGTAAAACATAATTTGATAAAATTTAACATCTCTTTATGATGAAAAATCTCAAAAAACTAGACATAAAAGGAGTATATCTCACATAATAAAGGCCATAAATGACAAACCCACAGCTAACATCCTACTGAAAGGGGAAAAGCCAAAAGCCTTTCATCTAAGAACTGGAATAAAACAAGGATGCCTATTTCACCACTCCTATTCAGCATAGTACTGATGATCCTATTCAGAGCAATCAGGCAAAAAAAACCAAAAAACAATGAACTAAGAGGCATTTAAATTGGAAAAGAAGGCAAATTGTTCCTCTTTGCAGATAATATGATTTTATATCTAGAAATACCTGAAGATTCCACCAAAAGACTCTTAGATCTGATAAATAAATTCAGTAAGGTTGCAGGATGCAAAATCAACATGTAAAAATCAGTAGCATTTCTATATCCTAATAATGAACTAGATGAGAAAGAAATCAAGAAAACTATTTAATTTACAATAGCTACCAAAAATATAATAAAATACCTAGGAATAAATTTCATGAAGAGGTGAAAGATCTCTAGAAGGAAAGGTACAAAACTGATGAAAGAAATTGAAGAGGACACAAATAAATAGAAAGACATGCTTTGCTTATGAATTGAAATAATTAACAAATTAACATCATTAAAATGACCATACTGCCTAAAGCAATTTACAGATCGAGCGCAAAGACTGTGAAATTCATGTGGGTGGGAGTTGGAAATGCAGAGACGTTGGCGAATGTGTACAAACATACAGTTGTACAGAAGAAATAAGTTCTAATGTTCTATAACAGACTAGGGTGACTGCAGTTATTAACAATATATTGTATATTTCAAAGTTGCTAAAAGAGAGGACTTTAAATATACTCAACACATAGAAATGACAAATACTCAAGATCATGGATACCCCAAATACCCTGACTTTATCATTACACATCCTGTACATGTAAAATAATATCACATATACGTTATAAATATGTAAAATATTATGTATCAATAAAATATTGTTTGTTTTATGTTTCACTAAATATTCATGGAAACAGATGTTATTACTTGTGGAGAACTACTTTGGAGTCCTTTCTTTGAGGAGCCGCCCCTTTTCCATCCTGTGTGGTCAGGGATGGGGCAGTCACTCTGCTCCTTTGCCCCTCCTCCATCCAACCACTGCAGAGGTATGCAGGTGGCACAAACTGAGCCAGTCTTCATACCCAGCCCTCTTGCCTCAGTGATTGGTTTAGGAACTGATACGTGTCACAAGTCGTTGAACTAATCAACATCTTCTAAGGGAATGGTAAGTGAATAATGGAACACTAAACTACTATGATGAGAGTCTAGGGTTGCGAGCAGCCATCTTGGCTCTGTGTGGGGAGAACTCATACAGGAAGAAGCCAACCAGAGTTACAGGATGGAAACAGACAGACTCTTAATTATAGTCTTGGAATGCCTTGGTTCAGCATTTCCTGGAGCCAGCCCTACTCTTAGAGTTCCCAGTTAATTAAACTCATTACTTTTACTCTTCAGCTTACTATTACAGAATTGAGTTTCTGTAATATGGAACTAAAAAGGTCATTGCTAATGCGAAATTTTGAGGTGGTAAGTCGAATATGTTGATAGATAAAAACAGCATTAGAAGAGCTTTGTTTCTAAATGAAGAGTTTAGAGCCAAACTTTCTCTCTGTCAAATGGCACTCAGGCATTTCTTTTTTGTTTACTGTGTGCTAAGAGAGTCTACCAAAAGAATAAGCAATTGTATCCCAGAAAGAGGAATTCGTGAAGTTGACTTAGACTCACCATAACAACACAGGCTGTAGAATTGCTGATACAGGAAATATGGAATCAAATTGCCTACACATCTCTTTATTAATAGATTCCAGATATATACAGCATTGTATCTTAAATGTAAATTATATATATAAATAATAAGAACAGGATTTTATGTATTATGAGTGAACACGTATCTGTTACATATAATTTTCATAGTTAAATGCTGGAGTCCTTTTATTTTCCATAGCTTCTAATGCAATGTCACAAACATAAAAACAAATGCTTCAGGATAATAAAAATGCTATCTTGGAATAGGCTGTTTGTTGATGAATGAAAAGAATTCAAATATCCTCTTATGTGAATGTTTTTGAATATTATGATATAAGAAAGGCAACCAAAGATTTCTGTTTTCTATTTTTTCTTATCTAACTTCTCGAAAGAGGAAATTTGTTCATGTACATTCCATACCCCTGATATCATAAGGCTGAGCTAGTAAAATACAATCTTTGAGCAAATTTAGACTGATTCTCCCTGGGAGTAAACTTTATCTCAAGACGAAACAGTACAATAAAGTAACTTATTATATTGATTATATTTGAAGAAATATCAAATCATTACCTTTGGACCACATGGCATTCCAAAAAAGTCACAGTCCAGCAAAGTGCTGCTGTTGAGATAAAACCCATTGTTCCTGATAAATTCTGCAATGCTGAAGTTTTGGTGACTTTTAACAAAATCAGCAGCCTCTTCAGAGCCAGTGGAATTGGCACTGATTTCCTGATGATGGAGAACTTTGGACACAATATGCCACAAGAAAAAGATAACACTGAATTTGGCTACAGCATCTGTTTGGAACCTATTAGTAGGAATGAAGGCAATAGTTAGAATAATAAAAACTTTCAATTATCTACAAGACAGAGACCACACATCTGGACACTTTCAGCTTCTTCTTATATCCTACACTCTCTCTCATGTACATTCAAGCAAAATTGGTTCCTAAGAGGTCTTTGACATATTGTGCAATTTATCTTATATTTGTACATATAGTTTCATTTACCTGGAATACTTCCCAGATCATGGTCCGGGTAACTCCTAATGGATCTTCAAGACCCAACTTAACGGATGAGGTATGAATGTGTAGTTGTTAAGGACATATAGTTAAAAGTCAGATTTCCTGTGAGTGGCTTTGTTTTGCATCTGCTTAGCTAAGCTGGAACTGTATTTCCTGGCTGTCTAATCCTTGTATGTATCTGGTTACACTCTGAAGTTCACTGTAGCACAGAAGCTGAGGTAGTTTACCCACATTGCAGTTCTTCTGCTCACTTGACTTGCTGATCTAGGGCACCATAGTTCCTCCAGCTCCTGTCTGAGCAAATTAGCCTTTAGCCTCCTCAAATCCTGGGTTAGTGAGATGGCAACCTGGTGAAGGTGCCAACTAGCCTGCAGGTCACCGTGCCATCGGAATTGGAGGTAGTGATAAAGAGACAGACATTTCCAGCTTGTATTTGTTTCCCCAACTTCACATTCATTTTCCCTTCTGCTGCTGACCCTGCTGCCTTGAATCCCAGCACCAGGAATTCAAGGTAGGCAATAGACTTACAAAGATTGCTTAAGCAGCTCACATTATTGAGCGGGGCTTAATCTTTATAATACCCCTTTATCTCTGCCACTCATAATGATTCTGTTTCCAGTCAAGCCTAATTGTTACAGCCACTTAATGGTGTGATAGCAAATTTCTGCATCTCCCTGGGACTTAGTTTCCTTGTAAAATCAGCGTGTGTTAATATAACCTACCTCAAAATGTTATTTTGATGATTACATTAATTATATTTTCCTAATTTACGAAGGTGACTGGAATATAGCAAGGGTTAGGTAAGTATTCATTCATTCGTGTCAAAGTATTTTTTGGCAGTCAAAGCAGAAGTGATCTATTTAATCCAACTACTATACTACTTTCTAATTCTTCATTTCTTATTTTGCTGAGCAATGTCTGCTTTGCATTATGTATGGGTCTTTATTTTGCATGCCTTGCATTCCTTTCAAAACATGACCAGTACTTTCATATTTTGGATGTTATAAATTTTGAAAATGAACAAATGTTCTCTCTTCATACTTGCTGCAAGAAAGCACAGAACAGAATGTGTAGTCCACTCCTGGTGGTTGTATGGGGTACATGGTCTGCGTCTCTTGCCTGGACCTTCTTGATGTCTCAGATTTTATTTTCACTTTATATTATATAAGTTTTACTTATCATACAAAAATATTTACTTATATATATTTATATATTATATATAATAAATATATGTATAATTTTTCTTTCTGATACAGGCCATATTAAATCCTTTCTCAGTCAAGGTAGGGTATACACAAAACAAAAGATGGAGGAAAAAACCCAAACCGACATTACATATGCATTAAGAGATGAGAGACTGTTTTTCTGATCAGCATCTAATATAACACCTGATATTACCAGCTCTAAGCCTTGCAAGGCCAGCCCAGGTCATAAAACCCTGCAAATATCCTCTTTTGGCTTCCCCATTCTGTGCCACTGTTAAGCTTCTGTCATGGTGATATTCTACCTAACTACAGTGGATCTTGGTCAGAATCATTTCTGGGATCTTTTGTGGCATTAACAGTTTGCATTGACAACAGATTTGTGGGAGCAGCACAGTGTTGACCCTCTATTGAGGGGTGGACTTCTAAACTACTTCAGGTTTCTAACTCTGAATGACTGACAATACCTAGGATTGGCTCCAAAGCCTTGCAACTATGGAATTTCCTCCAACCCAGAATGACAGTTAAAATAGTATATTATTTCTAAAAAATCAGCACTTTGCCTCCTTGCTGCCTTATTCTGAAGTTCCCTTATTCTGCTCATGAATATATTAGCTATGGGACTTACAATAATTCTTTTAATTTCTCGGGACCTCAGCTGTCTTATCAGTAAAGTAAATAGTAGTGCACAAGTGAACCACTGAATGTTTTAGGGTCTTTTCCAGCTCTAATAAAAATGATTTAAGCCATTATACTTCACACTCCAAAAAGATTACCTTTCACATATAATGAATATGCCTAAAATGGCACTGATGCATCATAGATTAAATAACAGCCTTTGAAGGAAAAAGAATACATTAAATATATACCAACTATAAGGTATATTATCATTTCTGCAATAGAATTTTTTTTTTTTTTTTTTTTTTTTTTGAGACAGAGTCTCGCTTGTTGCCCAGGCTAGAGTGAGTGCCGTGGCGTCAGCTTAGCTCACAGCAACCTCAAACTCCTGGGCTCAAGCAATCCTGCTGCCTCAGTCTCCCGAGTAGTTGGGACTACAGGCTTGCGCCACCATGCCCGGCTAATTTTATATATATATTAGTTGGCCAATTAATTTCTTTCTATTTATAGTAGAGACGGGGTCTCGCTCTTGCTCAGGCTGGTTTCGAACTCCTGACCTCGAGCAATCCGCCCGCCTCAGCCTCCCAGAGTGCTAGGATTACAGGCGTGAGCCACCGTGCCCGGCTTGCAATAGAATTTTTTAAATGGGCATCATAGAGTCAAGGAAATATACATGTTTCCATGTAGCAGATCATGAAAAGTATTACACTTTCTGGAATTTTCTATGAAATTCATTTTTATGAATCTCTGCCAAATATATCCTTAGGAGTGAGTTTGTCTTCCTACTTGTATAACCATAGCTTCATGTGAAAGAAACTTTTCAAAATTAAAATTAAATATTCTTTAATCAACTATGAATGAAAATAGACTGACAAATCTGACTGTGCTATGAAATATGAATACATGAAACAAGTTAATTTTGATGAAGTTGCTGATAAATATTGAAAAAGAAAGGCTAAAAAAATGAAAGCAATGAAAATGCTATTATTCATTACTGCAAAAGACAAAAAAGCTTTTCCTTTTTGTTTTCCCAAAAGGGGACATAAGTATTAAAAAGTATTAATGCATTACTTTTTTCATATTTTTATAGCAAACTTATTTTAATTTTTAACATTTTTATTGGCATGAATCCATACGGGCCATTATTATTATCATTTGTTTAATTTCATGACTATTACTGAAAATAATTTTGTCATGTAGAGGAGGGGAGTGTTAAAAAATGATCTGTTCTGACATATACTGGATAGGCCCCTGACACCTATTGTAAAAAGTAAACCCTTTCTAAAAATCCAAATTCATTGACAAAGTTTCCTTATCTCAAATATCCATTTTCTGCTGTTAAGGTAGTTCAACAGATATATGGGAATTGGGATCTATCAGCAGACTTCTTTCCAGTCCTTAACTTGGAAACTTAAAGTACATTGTAATATTAAGCTTTGTTTCTTCTCAAGTAAATTAGAGACAGTGCAGTTTAGAACCATGTCTTCAAACTGAGATGTGCATACGTCTGAGTGTTATTAGGCACAGAGAATTTTAATGAAATAAAATTTCAGATCCTCTTTTCATAATGGTTCTTTTCCCATATATGAGAGTTTTAACTTGTCACCCATAACAAACCTTAGCATAGAATGCATATTGGTATGTAACAACCTCAGGGCTTCGAACACAGAGGTGCATAATTGAATTGTAGTTTGCTTTGGGAGACTCATCTAAGAATTCATCGAGACTCCTTAAACCTTGTCTTGCCCTGTCATACACATTCCTTGTCAGGGTGAAGCTTGGCATTAGACACGGAGTATTTGAGCTCTTGCTGGAATCCTCTCAATTGACAAAGTCTGAAGTAGTATAATAAAATTTGTTATCTTAAATGTAACTAGGTTATTTGGTAAGACTTTCTGATTTTTGAATATTTGATTAAAGTCCACAGATAAAAGTTTTACGTGGCTTCTGCCAGTGTGTTTCAGTAGATAAAGTAGTTACAATATTATGAAATTGTATGAAATATTTGTTTCTATAAAAGTAAATCTTTATCCTATTTTCTCATAAATACATATCTTATATTATACAATGTTTGTCATATAATATTTATAATATAATTTGATATAAAATATCATATTTTTCATGTCTTAAACATTAGAAATAAACTTACTGAAAGTTATAGTTAAAAATTTAGATACTGGCCAGGTGCAGTGGCTCTCGCCTATAATCCTGGCACTCTGGGAGGCCGAAGCAGGTGGATCGCTCAAGGTCAGGAGTTCGAAACCAGCCTGAGCAAGAGTGAGACCTGGCTCTACTAAAAATAGAAAGAAATTAATTGGCCAACTAAAAATACGTAGAAAAAATTAGCCGAGCATGGTGGCAAATGCCTGTAGTCCCAGCTACTTGGGAGGCTGAGGCAGAAGGATTGCTACAGCCCAGGAGTTTGAGGTTGCTGTGAGCTAGGCTGACGCCACAGCACTCTAGCCCAGACAACAGAGTGAGACTCTGCCTCAAAAAAAAAAAAAAAAAAAATTAGATACCAATTTAACATGTGCAAGTTAAATATATAGTTTTGTTTATATGGCACATAAGCTGAAATGTTTAAAGACCATTACATGTAATCTAAGCATTTGTACCCCCATAATATTCTGAAATAAAAAAAAATACAGACCATTGGCTTTGAGAACTAAAAAATTGCTTGAGTTTTTTTCTGGTCTGTCATTAATTTACTGAATAGTGTTGGCTATGATGCTCCAGAATTTATATCCAAAGTATCTATCTATAAAATTAGACTTTGGGAGTTGAAGATATTTCTGGCCATTTATTGTATATAACTGAGCTAGAAAACACTATCACTTTTTTAGGACACCACCATCTAAAACAAAAGCTGAAATGATTGATTTGAGATTTGAGCTATGCAAGATGAATTAGGTTTTCATACTAAAACTTACATAAGTCCTTAGATCATAGAGTATTAAATGTTTTCTTTAGGTATTTATAACTACAACTTTCCCTCTGAGAACTGCTTTGGCTTCATCCTATAAGTTTGGTATATTGTGTCTTCATTTTTATTCATCTGAAAGAATTTCTAATTTCCCTTGTGATTTCTTCTTTGACTTGTTTATTTAGGTGTATGTTGTTTAATATCCACAAATTTATAAATATCCTAATTTGTTTCAATAATTGATCTTTAATTTTATTCTACTGTGATTGATGAACATACTTTGAATGATTTAAAATCTTTTCAACCTATTGAACCTTATTTCATGGCTTCCTAAATGGTCTACCTAAGAGAATGTTTCATGTGCACATAAGAAGAATGTGATTCTGCTATTGTTGATTAGAGTGTTCTACAGATGTTTGTTAAGTCTAGTTGGCTTATAAGGATGTTTAAGTCTTCTGTTTCTTTTCTGAGCCTCTGCCTGGTTGTTCTATTGATTACTGAAAGTAGGGTATTGAAAACTTCAACTATATAGACCGGATTATATCTTTCTGATAGATTGAAAATTTTGTCATTATAAAATGGAAATCTTTATGCCTAGTAACATATATTGATTAGAAGTCCATTTTATCTAAAATTAAGTTAGCCAGTCTAGCTTTTTGATCATTGCTATTTGCATGATATACCATTTGTCATTTTTTACTTTTAACCTGTTTGCATCTTTGAATCTAAAGTATGTCTCCTGTGTACAGCATATAGTTGGTGTTTTTTTAAATCTAGTCTGATAACCTCTGCCCTTTGGATTGTCTAATCCATTCAAATTTAATTTTATTATCGATATAGTTAGATTTACGTCTCCTATTTTACATTTTGATCTATATATGTAGCATGTCTTTTGTCCCCAAATATTCCATGGTTGTGCATGATAATGCCAACCTGTACTTTTGTTTCCCATGGCCTTTCCCCCTGTATCTCTGTGTGCCCTCTCCTCTCGGATAAGAATATCAGTCTTTGAATTTAGGACTCACCATAATGCAGTGTAACCTCATCTTAACTAATTATATCAGCAATGACCTAAAATTCAAATCAGTTCACTCAGAGGTTCCAGTAGACAAAAATGGTGGGGAGAACTTATTCCACTCGCTATACTAATTTCCCCTTGCCCTTAGCTTGCTGATGCTATTTTTTTTACATGTTTACTTACTTGAGTGGACTTTTCTGGTAAAGTCTATTTCCTCCCACAGTTTGAAGTCTCTCATGTAACTTCTAGTGGGAACAGTCTTGAGCATGGATGCAGTAATCCTTTAATGGCAGTTATTCTAGCAGGCATATCTGACTGTCTCTTTTATTAATCTCTCTGTTCAGCTATTTGTCTTTGTTGGTATCACACCTAGGTGTTAGGCTATTGCTGGCTTTACTGTTTTAAAAATATTATGGGTCATAAATTGCTCCACAGTCTGATCTAATTAAATTTGAGCACCTTTGCAGGAGTAATTTTGAGTCCAGTCTTTGAGAATGGCCCATCCTGGGTATTTGTTTCCTGGATTCTCACTGGTAAGCAATGATTGAGCTTGTTGATTTCATGAAGCTCTCAGTGCCCTGTTCATTGCTTACCACCAAAATATAAATTGTTTTTGAGAGTGCCCTTAGGCTTGAACTTCATTATGCTCTGTTATAAGTAAAGTAAATTTCCTCAGGGAGAACTTCAAAGCCTCTCCTCCTGGGAAAAATTTTACATGCAGGGTTCTGGATAGGTCAGTGGTTTCTGTTCTTCTGACCTTGTTTCTCACAGTATGAAACCTCCACGTATGAACAGGCAGGGATGAGAGTGACTGGGTATTCTCAGCCTACCATTCCTGGGGTATAGCCTTCACTCTACAAGTGGGAGTCACATGGAGGGAGGGTGATCCCAATTTCTCAGCAACATTCATCTGAAATTTAGCCTCTGCAACATGGAGCCATATTGGATGAGACATGTAGGCAGCCTGTATCTCCAAGGACACCCTGTAGCCCTTGACTGGTAGCTGAGGGGAAAGGGATCCCTGTATTATTGGCCAAACCCATCTAGAGTGCAGCTCCTGTCATGCTGAGACAGAAAAGGGAGAGAGGAAGAGGTTCGTTGTTCATGTTCTATAGTCTCTCACTGTTCTTATTGAGATTTAGTAGATGTTCTTTGAATAGAAAGGATAAATATTTCTTTCTTTGCTGTATTCTCTTAGGACAATTTCCAAATACTTTGTGTTACTTTTTTTCCTAAAATAAATTTTCACCAGTTATGGTTGTTTGGGGGTGGAGGGATAGAGTCTGTGGACCTCCTCACATTGTTATTCTGCAAGTGGTATCTGCATTTTCTTTCAACCAAGGATACCCACAGCCAATCTTTGTGCTTGTTAGAACACATACCATTTAAAATAGTATGAGGCAATAGTATTGGAAATCTCTTTGAGGGAGAGTTAATTTGTTTTTTCTTTTTGGGACTTTGATACATATCTTCAGTTCTTAAAATACTAACAGTCAGAGGCTGTGATATTTGCTATATATTGGGCACTTGGTCTAGAAATGCCCCAGGAATGAAACAAAATGGAGTATGTACTACCTCATCTAATGTATCAAAAACTATGTGAAGTAGATTATTTTATCTCATTTTATAAATATTAAAATTTAAACTAAGAAGATTGAGTCACTTGTCTATGATCAAATAGCTAAGTGGTGGGATTTAAGGAGCCTTCCTCCCCCAGGCAAAATTCCTATTTGTGATCTTTCAGCCCTCACTATAGGTGATTATGAGGCTTTGCCTGGGAGGTGGCATGGGGAAAGCTACCCTCTTCACAGCTCACTCGGTGCACAATCCAGTCAATGGATTGCAGTTTTCTGGAGTGAGTTGTAGTCAAGAACTCAAGACAGTGGCAGCAGAGCATTAAAACAAGTGTAAAACTCTTTCGAGCCCAGGATCCTGTGTAACTGAATAGATCACATACTCATGGAGCTGACCCTCTACTACATTAAATATCTCCTCACATGTACACTAGAACATTTTATATCTTTATTTGTTTGAACCATAGTTCCCTCTTCCAGTTTTTGTTCATCTCCACCTACACACCTCTGGTCATCTTTTATTATTCAGACTTCCATAACACCCCAGCTAGAGACTATCACTTTGTTCTCTGTGCTTTCAGAGACCTTGCACATAGCTTATTGTATTGTGCAATTATTATATTGTATTGTGATTGTTTATGCTTTTCTTTTTAAGTGCAGGGATCAAGACTTTTATATCTCATTAGCCATAGGGTTGGGTGTGTTACCTAGCATATAATTGTGGAAGAAAGGAAGAAAAAAAGGAAAATAGGTGAAAAAAAAATCAATTAGCTTCTTTGCTCCCCTAAATTCATGCTTGTAAGTACAATTTAAGAACTTCAGTGGTTTTATAGAAGTGACATAACACATACAAAAACTCTGGGTTAGTCATTCAAGAAAAGTTATACTAGCAAAATTGTAAGGACTGATTATTATTAAAAGGGAACTTTTTACCTGTTTAAATTACAAAATGTCACAGCTGGGAACTCCATCTTTTCCACATACTGAACCTCTATGGACGTTGTGATTGGCCATGTGAAGTAGTTGACCAGGCGACTGTAGATCTGCCATACCAGGAGAGAGACTGAGCCCAGGACCACCATCAACCAGATCGCCTTGCGAATTTTGCTCTTATTCCGAACAATATTGTGTACCCCATGAAAGGAAGTGGAGATGGCAAAGTCGTGGTCAAACTTCTTTCGGTAGGTGGGAGATGGCAGTGGCTTCTTTGAAAGGCAAAGCTTTATTTTTGCTAAGAGTCCTTAAGATTTTGCCCATAAGATAATCAAACAAAAAAGTAGTTAGGAAACGTTAATGCTATCCAAAAAACACAATTCACATAAGTTTAAACAGGTCATCCTTTTGATGTGTAATTCATAAGAACTCAAACTTCATCATGTGTTAGACGGTTTCTTCAGGAATCAAGAAGTATAAGTGTTGGCCACACAAGTCTATTGAAAATATGCTAATGCTATTCATAGAATACATATGATTAATGCAAATTTATTGGGGCAGCATATTAATGTGTTACTTCCAGCTTCCCAATCAACACACCTTGAATGGGTTGTTTGCAACAACTCATAAACTTTAAAAAGTTAGCCTTAATTTTTAAAATACTCTTTCTCCTTTAGATGTCATGAACAAAATCAGGCTTATTCTTCTGAGAGTCATTAGTGGGGCTAAAAGCAATCTGTTCTTTAATGAATCTTAATTGTCCTATGATTGTCCTTAATTGTCCTATAATTTATAGTGAGTGTAACTTCCATACTTTATATGCTTTGATATACAACTATTTTATTTCTGTTGGTTATTTAGTCAGAATGTTTAAAGTAAAAGTTGTAAGTAATCTATTTTCTACATCTGTAGGAAATGAATTCATCCCTTCAAGACTATCACTAACCAGTCAAATAGGGTTAATTGAAATTGGTAAGAACCAGTGAAGAGTACAATAAAATATTTTTGGCAACATATAACATATTCAAATTCTCTTTTGGTTTAATTTTTTAAAAATTTGTCCATGAGAGAAGATGCAAAGAATCCCTTTGCGCAGGGAAGGGTGTCATACAGTGACGAGGAGGAGATGGGCTTTGTAAGGGGAAGATCTAGCTTTCAGTTTAGTCTTTGTGCCTTACAGACTATGCAGCCTTAGCCAAGTTCATGAATCATATACCTCTTCTGTCAAATGGCAACAATAGTATCAGTCTCATAAGTTTGTTGCAAACATTAAATATAATAATACCTGGAGAGGTTTTATCATAAGCACATTATCTAGATGATGCTATCTACTTAAGAGTGTTAGCTATTTTTATTATGCTACTAATTTAGTAGTGATGTGGTAAACAGTAAAATATTCAGGAGTTTTTGAAAACTGTTTAAAATTCTCAGTTAAGAAAATATGTTCTTACTGGCCTCATAAATGCTCATAATTAGGTGAGTTAACTTTTATATCCTTTGCTTCATTCAAAAAGTTTTATTTTTGTCAGCTATCCAGCATTTATTTATTTTCAGAAGGTTTCAAACTCTATCATGAAATCAATACTTCATTTGATACTTCACAAATCTCCAATTAGCTAAGCTTTTTTTCAGGTATGAGATATATAAATGATATATAAAAGGTACCTATCAATGTTTTCTAAGGGAGTCCATTTAACTTGCAGTGTTGGAACATACTTATAAGTTATATTAGGATTATTTTACAGAAACTATACACTAAGCAGGAAGGTTTGTATTAATACGATTAGCTTGAAGTTGGACTAAAATGTTATAATAGCACCCACATAATGTTCTTTTTGGTATCAAATTAGGGAGCATTTATTTATAAAGTAACAGAGCAAAATTAGAAACATGAAAAGATTATTATTAATAATTAGAAGAATAAATATAATTATGCTCTTTTGTGTATATATTCTTTAGCCATTACTTACAAACACATGTGAAGAATTCATTGATAAAATGATTACACAGTTTCATGGCAACTTGTACCTTTTTTACTACAGGAATCAAAGCAATTAGAAGGGGAAGAGTAGTAACCAGTAACTGGCCAAGTAAAGTATGGCTGTTTGCAAGCATTACCTTGAAAAATATAAATTTCAAGTCTATCTGTTGGAAATCAGCCCATTTAATATAGACTTACTCCTTGACAATTGGTTTGGCCTTACTGGAATATTCTCAGCTATTTGTTAGGATTTTAATAGAATTTTTTTTCAATTATTATTTTAGATGGGTAGTGAAGAAACAAGGTAAAATATGACTGTCAGGAAGGTTAGTATTGTTTTAATAAATGGCCCACTAGTCTGCAAAGAAACTTCTTGCTTTCCTGACTGACACATCGACTCTATCATTATGACAAGTCACCCTTACATTGAAGCACTTTGAGGAACACTGAACAAGTTTTGTTGTATCTTAAATAAAATCTGTGGGCACATGATAAATAGAGGCCAAATGAAACAAAACAAAACAAACAAAAAATAGATTCTAGCATTTGGTAATATTTTAAAACTATTTTTGAGTCCCTCATACACATTACTGTTTTCCTAAGTAACTAAAACTATATTATTCTTTTTTAAAACTTACATTACTTATATTGTAGCCAAGTAATATTGGAAATCAAATTTCCAAAATGAAGAAATAAGTACCTTTTCCCTTTGCTTATTTCTAGACTGTAGGAATGAAAATCGTCACTGTTCTGAGGATTTTACTCTTTACCTACCTTTTTCAGCATATGCTTTTGATTTCTCAATCTGCTCCATTCGTGATTTCAGGGAGCAGAAGTCCTCAGGGTATGTCCAATTGTCATCAATACAATATTCATTTTGTGACCTTTATATAAAACACAACTGTTGAGGTTGTAAAATGTGGGGGCAATTTAAATGTTTGTGTTGCTATGTTTTGCCTCATAAAGCACATAATCTTCAAAGCAAAAATGTTGACAGAACCAGCTATGGGCATTTATGTACCAATGACAAGCTATCCTAGAGTGAAAAACAAAAAGTATCATTAGGGAACCATTTTCTCAGAATTAAAGGGACAATCTCTAGCAAACACCTGTGGTTTTCCAGCGGCCTCTGATCTGGCTAATTGACACTACCCCGGGAGAGTCTCCTTAGCTTTTTTCTCCACATTTCTCTTTATACAACTTTGAATCCAAATGCAGTTGGAAAGGGAAAGGTATCTTTTCCTTGTTGAATTTTCTTTCTTAATAACAGATAAAGCTGTTTCTAACAGAAAGATTAGCCAATACAAATGACAAAATAAAACACCTGGAAATATTTCCTCAGGAAGAAATGATTACTGAAAGCATACAAACCTAATAAAACATAAAGACCAATCATTTTTTTCATATTGAAACTTTTGAAAAATTGTTCAAATGTATTCTGTTAAATAATAAACTGGAGTATGTGCATTATTATGTATAAATGGCAGCATCTCTTAACAGAACTCAGGAATTGCATGTATCTCTACTTAGAGCCTGTTATCGTTGCCATAGCATTTTACAAGCATTTAACCACTATTATTGTGGTTACATATGTTTTACATATATTTGAAAACTTGGAAATTCTGTAATGTAAGTTGAAATTAGTCTCATCTAGAGGCAAACTAGAAAATTTCAAGTGATACAAGTGAAGGGACCTGGGTATACTTCTCCAAACATCACATTCTAGATTTCAGGAACAGAGTCTCATGATATGTGAATTTTTGCATTAATTGATCTCTTCTTTGGGATTAAATTATGACTTCAAGAATAGTCTTTTAAAACTCAGGTCCTCCTGAGCGGAATAACAACCAACTTAACCTATTCACCCTTCCTTTCTTGCTTTTCTTCCTTCCTCTTATTCTTCTATCAACTTTCCACAAGCATTTGTGGTGCCCTTATGATGTACAAAGTGATATATTTAAAATAGAAACAGGTGCAGTGGCTCGTGCCTATAATCCTAGCACTCTGGCAGCTTGAGGCAGGTGGATTGCTCGAGTTCAAGAGTTTGAGACCAGCTTGAGCAAGAGTGAGACCCCCATCTCTACTAAAAATAGAAAAAACATTAACTGGACAACTAAAAATAGAAACAAAATATAATTAGCTGGGCATGGTGGCTAGTGCCTATAGTCCCAGCTACTTGGGAGGCTGAGGCAGGAGGATCACTTGAGCCCAGGAGTTTGAGGGTTCTGTGAGCAAGGCTGACTCCAGGGCACTTGCCCCAGGCAACAGAGTGAGTCTCTGTCTCAAAAATAAATAAATAAATGAATAAAAAGAATAGTGTGTTCAGTAGGCCTTCACTGTTTAAGAGAGTGTAATTAGTTGCTTTACGTTTTGGGACAGACCATAGGAAATAAGGCTAGTCCGGATAGAGCAGGCCAGGCTGGAAGTACAATGTATTGATAATAAAGAGAGTAGGGAGATGGGTAACTATGGATAGGGAAGTGTGGGAAGAAAAATAAAGGGAAAAGCAGCCTTCCAAAGCCACACTTTATCTGCTTCATAACTTCACCAAGCCTCAGGCATAAGTACAAATTTGCTTAAAGTTCCTTTACTGTTTTCACTTGTACTTCACCTCCTCTTTCTTCTGGGCTATAACCTTCTGATATTTCCCCATAGTGCCCTTGAGCAGTAGAGGAAAAAGGGTGGAAAAGATAGAAAGGAAGGAAGGAAGGAAGGCAAGATCTCTCTAATTCCTATCCTTTATTAGATAAACAAAAAATAAAAGAAAAGAGAGCTTCCTCTTAACTTTATTTGCTCAAACTTGTTTCACTTTTCCGTGACATTTAAAAACAATAAAAATATTTGCTCTTGCTCACATTGATCTGATAACTCCCCATTTCTCTTTTACCTTAAAATGAACTTCCCAACATTGTTGCCTTATCTCCTTCTGTCTTCGGTTTTAAAAATACTTCCCTCTCACCTCTACTTTATTAGTGAGGTTAGTAAATTTGAATCCCATCCTCTCTGTCTAGATGGGAAATCTCCTTCCATTTTCCCTTATCCTTGTTTGAAATCCAAGCCCAGGATTCTCTTCATAGTTGTAACTTGTTTTTCCTTTTATAGTCCAAATTTATTATTATTGTTTTCATTAAAAAGAAATATGAAAGCTCCAACTTTCCATTCTTCAACTTTTCCCGGTCTTTACAGTTGATTTGAATAGTAAGTATATGTGATGAAAGATAGATTTTCAAATTCCTTCCCTGTCTCCCAAATATCCCACATAAATACACATATAAAGGGGGGCAATTAAATGACAAAACCAAATCCATGAGAATCTAGAGAGTTATGAATTATTATTATCCACTATCCTTGCACAAGTAGTATCAGCATCAAAAAAAAGACTCATTAATAGTGATAAATGCAAAAGATGGAAAAAGAAAGTGGAAAGAAAAGCCAACCAACCTTTTATCAGACTTTGCATTTGAATTCAGAGTATAAGCAACATTAAGAAGCAATATATGCTAAAGAAATATATTTATTTTGGCCCAGTACCAGTTATAAAGATACATAAATGTATGTTATTCAAGTATTTCCTATTAAATCTATTTTTAAAAATTCTTATGAGTTTTAATAAAAATTTTGATTCTATTGAATTGATATACCTAAAGGTATAAAAATGGTCATCTTTGATGATTACTTGTTCAAAAAGTTTTATTGTTAATTATTATGGATACATAATAGTTGTATATATTTATAGAGTATATGTGATGTTTTGATACAGGCACACAATGTGTATTAATCAAATCAGGGCAATTGGGGTAGTCATCACCTCAGGCATTTAGCATTTCTTTGTGTCAGGAACATTCTAATTCCAGTATTTTAGTTATTTCAAATTATACCAAAATTTATTTTTGATTTTAGTCACTTTGTTTTGCTAGCAAATATTTTTCATTCTATCTAACTGCCTAACCATATTTTGTACCCATTAACCATCCCCACTTTATCTTTTCTTTTCCATCTACCCTTCCTAGTCTCTGGTAACTATCATCCTACTCTCTATCTCTATGAGATGAATTGTTTTAATATTCAGCTACCACATTTGAATGAGAATATGAGAAATTTGTCTTTCTGTGATTGGCTTATTTCATTTAATATGATGTTCTCCTCCAGTTCCATCCATGTTGATGCAAATAGCAGGATTTCATTCTTTTTTATGGCTATATAATATTCCATTGCATAATGTGCCACAATTTCCTTATCCATTCATCCATTGAGGAATGCTTAAGTTGATTGCAAATCTTTGTTATTGTGAATAGTGCTGCAGTAAACATGGGAGTGTAGATATCTTTTCCATATACTGGTTTTCTTTCTTTTGAATATATACCCAGCAGTGGGATTACTGGGTCATATGGTACTTCTATTTTTTGTTTTGTGAGGAATCTCCATAATGTTCTCCATTGCGGTTGCACTAGTTTATAGTCCCACCAACAGTGTACGAGGGTTCCCCTTTCTCCACGTCTATCTGAAATAGACATTTTTTCTTAATCACCTTAGAAATAAAAAACAAAGCAACCTCACAGTTTAACATGTTTTTAAAGTAATAAATTGTTCAATGGTGTCTTGTGTTGCGTCTGTAATAGCATAAAAAGTGGAACTCATAGAGCCATTTTCTGTTATGGGCTGTATCTAAGTGGTGTTGGTTAGTATTTTTATTTAATATTTTTCATGGTGCTCTAGGGTGAAGAAGTTAGACAATGTATCATATCTATTTAAAGCAAATAAAATCATGTATCTGAAATAATAGCATATACTGTAGAAAGAGACCTTAAGATATCAAGTCCAACACTTAATGCTATCCCTCATCCTCACCCATTTAGCGGAAGAGGAAGCTCAGAAATGAGGAGACAGAATGAAAGTTCCACTAAGGCAGGGTTTTTTTTGCCTGTAGTGTTTGGTGATCTGTCCAACTGTTGAGTGAATTAAGAAGTTTGTCCCAGCTTTGTCCTTTTAAACTTCATTTCTTACGACATAAGAACATTACTGTAATTTTTCCAACTTTTTATTTTGAAAGTACAAATTTACAGTAAAGTTACAAAAATTATACAATGAATACCCATATACTAATTATTTTAATTAATCGATCTTTTAACATTTTCTGACGTTTGCTTTGTTTTTACCATTAAATGCATCATGCCCCTATCTCCTAAGAACAAGAACATCCTTCCTCCTGTGCAAATGCAATGTAAGGATCTCATTCAGAACGCTTACGTTTTATATGGCACATTATTATTTAATGTGCAATTCATATTCAAATTTTCCAAGTTATTCTCCAAATGTACTCCATACTGCTTAATTCCCCAATTCTGAACCCAATTAAGGATCACTGATTGCATTTAGTTTCCATATTTATTTAAACTTCTTTATTAAAGAAGAGTTCCTTAGCCATTAATTAATTTTTAATTTTTTGTCTTTTTATTACATTGCTATTGCTAGAGAAACTTTGTCAGAATGCTTCTCAATTCAGAGTTGTTTGGTTTCCTCTTCATGATTAGGTTTAGGTGAAATATTTATGGTAAGAGCACTACGTGGGTGATATTGTATCCTTCGTGGTGAATTGCATCAAGTAGCTGGTGATTGCAGTTTCTACTATATTTGGTGACAGTAAGGTGGGATTTCTTGGTTAAGGAGGTGTTTGTCAAATTTCTACTTTACTTTGTAAATGTATCATTTTTTTTGTAATTAACAAGTGATCTGTGTAAACAATTATTTGATAATCGAGTATCTTGTTCCTAATCTTTCATGCAATGATTTTAGCATAAATCAACTTATCCTAGTTAACATTATTACTATGGTGCTTGCAAAATGATGATTTTCAA